GCACACGCACCCTGCCCTCCTCAGGGGAACTGCCCAAGGGAACCAAACCAGCTCCCAGCCTGCAGAGAGATCTAGGCATCTCCAAAGGAGACTCATCAGACAGTTCAGAGGAGGCTCTGAGAGGAGGGACCTGGACCCCTCAACTTCTGTAGTGGGCCCCCAGAACTGCCTCCCACCATGACTGCCCACAGGGGAAAAGTGTAGGTCCCTCAAAGGAAATTAAGACATTGTCAGGAAGAGGGATGTTGGACAATGCTAAAAATGCCAACTATCTATTATATAGAGAACCAGGATCCAGGTAACTTCCCACAAGATCAGAACAACTGGCTAGACTTAACAAGATAAAATAAGCAACAAACAAATGTGGAATCCTACCGTGAGGCTCAAGAAACCAACATCACTCAAAGAGATGGGGAAGACCCAGTTGGGCAATAAAGTGATGTGGCTGCCAGAAACATGACTTCAGTGTGAGGTCATATTAATAGAGGAGTGGGATCTGGAAAGGGGAGGTGAAAGTTCAGCCTTATTCTCAACTAGGTGCAGTTCCAAGAGTCCCACTTTAAAGAGAACATTGTTGACCTGGTAAAAAGCAAAGAGAGGAGAGATGTCACAATGGTGAGAACCCAGAATCCTGTCCAGAATCCTGTCCTTCAAGGAAAGGCTAAAAGAACTGGGAACATTTGATCTAGAGGGAGAAAATTCTAGAGAAATGAGATGCCTGTACAATCCTGAAGGGGTTCCCACAAGAAAAAAAGTAAAGCTGGTCAGATGACATGGTGAAATGGAAAAAGCCTGAAATTTCTCCCAGTTTCAGAAAAGCTAAATTCAGGCTCCACCATTTACCAGCTATGAGGGACTGAACATCCTTCAAACTGGAACATGTCAGACACAACTAAGGGCTGAATATTGGTTTTCTGTGAGAACCAGAGGTGGGAAAACACTGGGAGGGAGATTTCAGCTCAATTCTAGGCAGGATTTTCTTTCTTTTTAAAATAATATTTGTCATTCTTATCTCTAATCACAAAAGAAATACATGGTTGTATAAAATATTGGTAAACAGAAAAGCAAAATTAGATAAAGATCACATCAACCACTATTTACCTTCTAATATCTAAGCATAAGATAGATAGACAGACAGACAGATACTAACAAAAATGGGATCATACAAATAATTATCTGAGAGAATTTAGAATATCAGCAAGTAAAAATGCGTATATCAGTATGTAAAGATATTTACTGCAGTACTGTTTCTAGGGAAAATTAAAGGCTAAAAAAAGGCTGTCAACCACCTGATTACTCATCGGTAGGGGAATGTTGGGAGGGTTTGAGAAACTGATAGAACACCCACATCATGCAACACTGTGCAGCTGGTTGAAAAAAAGGGTGGGGCTAGTACGCATAGCCTTAAAAATGTTTCCAACATATGTCTGCGTAAGGCAGAACAAAGTTACAGAATATTAGGCACAGTATGATCCCATTTTGTAAAATGCACGCACATATATATTTTTATAGGATGCAAAGGAAACAGTATTAACAGAGGGTACATCTGGGGTGCAGAGTCAGAGAGGCCAAGGATAAGACAGTTCACATGTTCTTTGAATACTTCCATGTTGCTTGAATTGGGACAATCCTTTTATATTATTTTTATAATTCAAATGAGTGAAATTTAAATAAACAAACAATCGACACTGGACATGTCTCCATGCCAATACAGATTTTACATTCTATTTAATAACCAAATGTATTCCTTGTGGGCATTTCTCTGGGGGGATATTGAGTACACCGGGAGCTGTCCAAAGAGGGAGCAGGAGCATTTTGACAGACACACCCAAAAATGTGCAGACCCAGAGTCCTAACCGTGCCTCAGGTAGGAGATTATCTGAAAGGTACACTAGTGCATGTGCACAACAAATGTCTAGGCAGGAATATCCCTGCTTCATTATTCCTGCTAGCAAAAGGCTAGGAACAACATACGTGTCCCACCCCGGGAACTGGATAAATAAAAATGACAGGCTGACCATATGCTGCAGTTTCCAATAGTGAATGCAAGAAATGAGACAGATCTGTAGAAACATACATGGAAAGTGTGCAGGATATACTGCAAAGTGAAGGGCGGAAAGGCAAGCTACAATATGAGCAATATGTACAGTGTGATCTCATTTCCATTTAAAATATACATGTGACTGTGCCTTGAAAAAAACTGAAGGATACACGTCAAGCTGTAGGTTGGGTTAACCTGTAGATCGTATGTAGCCTGTATGTATCCCTATAAGGAGATAGGTCTAGAGATGCAAAGGAAGTGAGCTCGCCATCCCAGGAGGCGTCCCAGAGACTGGCTGCCCCTTTGCAGGGATGCTGCGGAAGTGATTTCCACATCGCTTGGAGGTGACCTCGGTCCTCTTCTTGGCCCTGAGAATCTGAGAGAGGAGAGGTCAGGCCTGGGAGAAGAATCCACCCCTAAGGGGAAAGGGTTAACCGGGGATGGCGCTCCTGTGGGCGGGCTCCGCGATCGCGATCGGCAGCGCCGGGCTCTGTTAGCCAAGTCTGAGCATCTCGGAGGATGCGGCGCGGCGAGCGGCCTCAGGGACGCGCGCAAGGTGAACGCGGGGGCTGCCTGCCGGCGCGGAGCCCAGGTGAGGAGCTGGACTAGGGAGGAGGCGATGGTGGGGTCCCAGGCAGGGAGCATGGCCTGCAGCCCCCCTCTCAGGCGCGAGCGGCTGGGCCTGCACGAGCGCCCACCCCCACCGGGGACACTGCGGGAAGGCGCGGAGCCAGGGGAGGGATGGAGAGCGAGAGGTAACCCGAGATGGACCAGCTCCTGGAGGCTGCCTTGCGGCGGCCCTCGCCCTGCCTCCAGGCTGGCCTCTCCCTAGTCCCTGGGGCAGGGGAACCACTTCCCCCTACCAACCAAAAAAAAATCTCTCTTCAGCAGCTGGAACCCAGGGCTGGGCAGCCCCCTCCTAGTCCAGAGATGACTACATCTCTTGGATTGGGGGTGGTGAGCAGATGGTATATGCTTACCATTGAAGTCTCCTCCTCTGCAAAGCTTTCCAACGCCCCGTGTAAAATGAGCCACTGCGGGTTTCACAGCCCCTAGTATGGCCACTCGCCGGCTGTGTGACCTTGGGCAGTTACTCAACCTCTCTGAACCTCGCTTTTTTCTCCTGTGAAACGGGTGTAGCCACAGCCACTTGTATTGGGAAAGGTGCATGAAATCCAGGACATGTAGCTAAGCTTAGCACAGGTGTCTAAGTGGGTAAGAGCTCACACAAGAGTACTATTATTAACCAGGACCTGTGTTACTGGCCTTTCAGTCCTGCCTCCTCAGCTCACTCTGACTCCTGACACTGGAACGGAGACTTCTCTTTGGGTCCCCAGCACCTAGCCTGGGTCGGAGCAGAGCAAGGGGCTTGGCGAATGTTTGAGAAATGAACTAACAAGCAGAGTCTAAAGCTCAGTTTTGGAGGATAGGTTTAAGGGGGTCTCTGAACCCCCTGAAATTATCCACAAGCTCTGTTGGGCCTGGGCATTTCCCTGGGGAGAGCACCTGGAGTTTTCAGCTTCTCAAGGTGTCTGCGAGCCGCCAAGGATTAGGAAGCAGGGAGCTTTGAGCACACCTGCTTCCCCGAGGGAAGGAACAGGCACTAAACATACCCGGGCACTGGGTCTCATAGCTGCTATCCCCCCTCTCCTGGCTGGGGGTCCCTTCCTGCCTCCCCAGACTATCCACCTGGGGATCATGCACCTGGAGGCAACAAATAAGAGATGCAGCCCTCGAGAAGCCCCAGGCCGGTGGGGGAGACAGGAGATGATCACCCTGTGTGACCAGGGTGACCGGAAGGGGTGGAGGGGGTGTCAGGGAAAGAAATACCCAAGCTGAAACAAGCCACCGTCCTATCTTACCTGATTTCTGCACTGGCCTCTCTCCCCCTTTTAAAACACTTAGCAGATCTGGTCACTCCCATGCTTAACATCTCCACTGGATTCCTGGGACACTTTTAGAATAAAATCCAGGTGCCTTTTCTCAGCTTTGAGAAGGCCCCTGCCCCCTGGTTTCATCTCCCTGTGCTCCCTCCTCCTGCTTTTGCTGTGCTCTTCATTCCTGCTGAAGGGCCTTTCTGTTCCCTCCGCCAAATGCTTTTTCCTGATATCATCACGTGGCTGACTCCTTCCCATTCAACGTTTAGCTGAAAGTCACCTGAGAGGGGCTTTCTCGCACCCCTGAGTAAAGTAGGCCCCCATCCCTCTCTCTCTTAACCCCATTTTATGTTCACCATAGCTCGCTTTATTTACAAGTATTGATCGTCTGTTTCCTACCTACAATGCCAGCTCCCTGAGGGCAGGTAACTTGTCAGTCTTGTTCACTGTTTTATCCCAAGGCTCGGCACACAGTATGTGCTGAAATTATTTGTTGAAAGAGTTAAGGGGGCTGGTGGCAAAAAAAGATTTCTGACCAAAGGGAAAAGTAAAAGGGCTTTAATGCTTATTAAGTTCCTATTACAGGCCTGGCCCATGTGTTGTGTTATGCAAGTCTTAGAAGAACCCTTCTGAGTTAGGTACGATTTTTAAACCCATTTTACTGATGGGAAAACCATGATGCAGAGGGTAAAGTAACTCACCCAGGAAATGACGAAGCTGGGATTCAAACCCAGATCTCTCCTCAAAGGCAAGGGCATATTCTTCTCCCTCTCTACCTCTCTGATGTTTGAGCGGGGCCTTCAAGAAGAGGATTTAAAAAAAAACAAACTAGGATTTCAGCAAGTGCAGGTGAAGGGAGAGGCATTCCAGCCTACGGGAACAGCAGGAGTAAAGGCCTGGGGCATCAGACAGTGCAGTGGGTGTTGAGGGATATGTGAGCAGCCTGATGTGGCCCTAGAAGGCCAGGGGAGGAGCTGATACTCTCTCCTGAGGGCAGTCGGGAGCCATTGAACGTTTGCGAGCAGGGCAAGTGGCGTGACCACAGATGCAGTTTTAAAAGGTCACTCTGGGCAGAATAAAGAGGTTGGACAGGAAGGGGCGGGCAGGGGGTAAGGGCTGCTCCTTTCTTTCCCACCAGCCCCCTTGGGGCAGCCATGGGAGGCCCAACCCTCATGTGCCATCCCCCTCTCCTTTTTTTTTTTTTTTTTGTTTATTTTGGGAGGAATTTTTAGGGTGGTGGTAATTAGGTTTAATTTATTTTTTTAATGGAGGTACTGGGGACGGAACCCAGGACCTTGTGCATGCTAAGCATGCGCACTACCACTGAGCTCTACCCTCTCCCACACTCTCCTTTTTTTTTTAGGCTCATCCAGTGAAGACTGGAAGCTGAGGGCTCTAGGCCCAGGCATCAGAGTGGACCATGGCCCAAAGCCCGTGGGGCTGTGTGTGTGGCCTCCTGCTGCTCTTGCTGCTGCTGTCCCTGGGGGTCTGGCCCTGCCCTGGGCCGGGGCCTTCCTCGGCCACTTGAGGACTTGGAACCACATCTGATCCCAGGAGCCCACCCCAAGGGCCCTCTTGGCACAGAGCCCCAGGCCTTCGACTTCCTCTGGGAGGAGCCCAGAGACAAGAACCCCGGGGACTCCAGTGTCCCCCAGGTCCTTGCTGAGGAAGTGCCTGAGAGGCGCGCAGACTCCTTCGGCCTAGCCCTGCATGGACCTAAAGCAGCCCATGGGGCTCAGAGAGAAGGACTCCCAGTAACTGATGACCTCCAAGTGGCTCGAGGGCCAAGTTCTCAGGGCTGGACAGGACCTCCTGAACCACAGGAGCCTGTGGAGCAAGAAGCACCTGTCCCCTATCCAGTGGACGCCCCCCATGTCACTTTGATCCCTACAACTTCCACGCTCCAAACTGAGACGGCCACGGTTCCCCCCACCCCTGGGGAGCCTGGAGGCCAAGTGGGACAGCGGCCATCTGGAGATGAGAGTCTGGTAGTGGCCAAAGACAAGACCAGGGTCTCAGAGACATCCCCCTGGGAACACAAGGGCCCTCCCCACACGCTTGCTCCCCACCTGGGCACTACTGTGAGGCCAGTGCTGGAAGGACAGGGCCAGGGTGAGGAGGACGTCCAGGAGACAGCTCACAGTCCCCTCACCACCCAGCAGGATCCAGCAGCCCCTGATGTTGGCTCAGTATCCCCAGCTGAGGGGGCATCCTCTCAGGAGCCTGAGTCCCAGCCAGACCTGGCATTGGCCAGAAGCCTTCCTCCTGCTGAGGAATTGCCCTTGGAGCTCCCCAAGAAGGCTGGAGATGGGGAGACCTGGGAAGTCAGTTCTCCAAGTCCCTCACCCAAACTGGCTGATCTCCCTGATGTCAGGGACTCACCAGGACCCCAGCACTCAGGTCCTCCAGCCACAGAAACTCCTGATGCACAGCTCAAGCCAGGTGGGTATCAAAGTGAGGGTGCTGAGCAGGGCTGGGGGGGGGCAGTTTTCCAGGGCAGCCAGATGCCCCAGTTTCCACATGACCTCTGGTCCCTCTTGGTTCTGCTTTCCTCATTCTGGCAAATGAGGGTGATTGTGCCTCCCTCCTGGGGGGATGAGATTTTGGGGAACGCCAGGAAGTCAGGCAAAGTGATGACTGCTTTTGTTATTTCAGAGATAGCAGCAGTGAATGGAGCAGACCCCATCTCCCCCCAGCGGGTGAGAGGAGCAGTGGAGGCCCCAGGTACCCCCAAGTCCCTCATCCCTGGCCCCTCCGACCCTGGCCCAACTACAAACCGAACAGAGAGCCCTGTGGGAGCCCTGAAGCCAGGTGAGGGCACACCTGGGGGTTTGGGGAGAGCGGGTACTCTGTCTATTAACTAAGAACCTGTGTGAGGTATATACGGGGGGTGGGGAGGGGAGTGAATGGGGACAAACACCTCCTTAAAGGAACTGGTAAAGAACGCCTTCAAACAACTTAGGATAATAAACTAATACTCACTGGATACTCCAGGAGAATTCATTTGCACTCTGGGGGCTAGAAAATTCTTAAACGTAACAGGTGTATTTAGTGCAGTGATTCTCCAACTCCTACAAGTCACTGGAGGAGTTTTTAAACAATTCCAATGCCCAGGCCCAGGCCCAGGGGATTCTGATTTGAGTTTATCTTCAGGTGATTCTAATATGCAGCCCCTGTTGAGAACTGTGGGAATGTTAATAAGAATAATAGCTCACATCCATTTAACACTTACTGGGTGTTGGGCACTAAGCTATACATTTACTCTCACCACAACCCCATGAGGGAGGTGCTGTTGCAACTCGCATTTTACACATGTGCTTGGAAAAGTTAAACAACTTGTTCACCACACCAGAGAATGATGGAAAATCTCAAGCACTTCTCAAAGGGCTATTTTAATATTGTTATTATTGCAGATGAAGCCGAGGAGTGGCCTGGGCGCCCCCAAAGCCATCCCCCAGCACCCCCTGTCCAGGCCCCCTCGACGTCACGCCGGGGCCTCATTCGGGTCACCACGCAGCGCGCCCTGGGCCAGCCACCCCCTCCGGAGCCCTCAGCCAGCTCCATGGCATCAGCCCCAGCCTCCAGCCCCCCGGCCAACGCCACCGCACCACCCCTGCGCTGGGGTCCCCTGCGGCGGGTGCTGAGCTTTTCCTGGGAGCTGCACGTCTACGGGGTGGGGGTGCTTTTCCTGCTGCCCGCGTTGCTGGCACTGGCCTCGCTGGCAGCCGCCCCTGCGGGGCCCCGGCTGGCACTGGTGGCGGCGGTGCTGGTGCTGGTGGCGTCAGGGCTGAGATCCGCCTACATGCTCACCGACCCGTATGGCTCGCAGGCACGGCTGGGTTTACGCGCCGGCCTGGTGCTGTACAATCTGCCCTTCCCTTTGCTACTCACTGCGCTGGCGGCCCTGACCCTGCTCGGCCTGGGCGCGGGGCTGCCACAGCAGCTGCAGAACCCGCTCCTCCTGGGAGCGCTGGCGTTGGTGCACGGCGTGGGGCTGCTCGCTACAGACCTGCTGTCGGTGAGGCCTGCGCTCAACCTCCTGGCTCAGGGCTTATCGTGCGCC